AGGACGCTCGAGCTCGACCCGCTTCCCGAGCCGGGTGTGAACAGTCCCTCTTCACACCTACTGCTGTGAACAGGACGCTCGAGCTCGACCCGCTTCCCGAGCCGGGTGTGAACAGCGTCTCTTCACACCTACTGCTGTGAACAGGACGCTCGAGCTCGACCCGCCTCCCGAGCCGGGTGTGAACAGTCCCTCTTCACACCTACTGCTGTGAACAGGACGCTCGAGCTCGACCCGCTTCCCGAGCCGGGTGTGAACAGCGTCTCTTCACACCTACTGCTGTGAACAGGACGCTCGAGCTCGACCCGCCTCCCGAGCCGGGTGTGAACAGCGTCTCTTCACACCTACTGCTGTGAACAGGACGCTCGAGCTCGACCCGCTTCCCGAGCCGGGTGTGAACAGCGTCTCTTCACACCTACTGCTGTGAACAGGACGCTCGAGCTCGACCCGCCTCCCGAGCCGGGTGTGAACAGTCCCTCTTCACACCTACTGCTGTGAACAGGACGCTCGAGCTCGACCCGCTTCCCGAGCCGGGTGTGAACAGCGTCTCTTCACACCTACTGCTGTGAACAGGACGCTCGAGCTCGACCCGCCTCCCGAGCCGGGTGTGAACAGCGTCTCTTCACACCTACTGCTGTGAACAGGACGCTCGAGCTCGACCCGCTTCCCGAGCCGGGTGTGAACAGTCCCTCTTCACACCTACTGCTGTGAACAGGACGCTCGAGCTCGACCCGCTTCCCGAGCCGGGTGTGAACAGTCCCTCTTCACACCTACTGCTGTGAACAGGACGCTCGAGCTCGACCCGCCTCCCGAGCCGGGTGTGAACAGCGTCTCTTCACACCCACTGCTGTGAACAGGACGCTCGAGCTCGACCCGCTTCCCGAGCCGGGTGTCGGCCTCAGCAGCGGCTTGGCCGAAGCGCTCGTGCTCATCTCACTCAACCTCGTCCTCCTCACCCTCGCCCTCGGCCTGACGCGCCGCAACCGCCTCCGGCTGACGCGCGCCTTTGTGCGCATGGAGCGGTCGGGGGAGACGCGCGCCGCCGCGGTCATCTCCGCCTTCATTGGCGGCATCGACTCGCGCAAGGCGAAGGCGCTGGCAGAGAGCAACTTCCGCGGCCTCCCCTTCTCGGCCCTGTGCGAGGCCGACTTCAAGGCGGCGAGGCGCGAGGCCGAGACGCGAGCCGACGGCGACGCGCTCTCTGCGCACTCGGTCCGGGTCGCGCTCGGCTCCGTGGACGCCTTTGTGCGCCACTTCCTAGACACTTCCCAGACACTCCCTAGACACTTCCAGACACTCCCTAGAGACTTGCTCGGCTCCGTGGACGCCTTTGTGCGCCACTTCCTAGACACTTCCCAGACACTCCCTAGACACTTCCAGACACTCCCTAGAGACTTGCTCGGCTCCGTGGACGCCTTTGTGCGCCTCCCTGCTCTGCCTCCCCACCTCCCCACCTCCCCACCTCCCTGCCTCCCTGCCTCCCTGCCTCCCTGCCTCCCCCGCCTCCTGCATCCCCTGCCTGTACTCTACTCCGACTAGCGCGCGAGAGGACACGCCTTCCCCACGGTATCCGACCGCATGCGTGTAGTCACCGTCTCCGCCTCCCGCGTCTTCACACGGCGCCTCTCAAGACTCTGCACAATGCCGTCTTCCCGCCCCGAGGTTGGCGTATGCCCATTCCCGCCCTGCAGGTGAGCCACGCGTGGGACGACGACCACGTCGCCAAGTACAGGGCCCTCTCGCGCTGGGCCGCCAGCTTCAAGCAGAAGCACGGCCGTGAGCCGCTCCTCTGGCTCGACAAGGCGTGCCGCCCCCTACCCTATATTTAAAAAGAATTGTTGGATCCTTCTCAGTCAGCTG